CCGACTCGGCCCATTGACAACACTAGTTGTGTTTGTATTTCTGCTTTTAAAAGCACGTCTGTAGTGTGACAATTGGCAAAAGTATTTTAAAATGAATGCTATTTATATATTTCTTGGCATTTTAGTGTGAATTCTTTGTTAAAACTTCAAAATTATATATCTTTTTTTAGTAATATGTTTTGCAAATATTTTTCTATGTTACCTGCCAAGTACAATAAATGTATAGCAAGTGGAATCATTGTCCAAGGTTTGGACATAATAAATTCGTCCCTTTTAAGGAGAATTGTATTTGCCTTTGCTAGTGTTGTCGGGTCCTTATTTGACACTTCGAGTGTTTTCAGTATTCATTATAGTGTAATGAGATTCGATGCAACTCGTGTAAGTTCCAAGGATGAATTATATATAATTACAATTGAGTAAGAGCATCTCCAACAGACTCTTTAAACTTGAGATGCTCTCTATTTTAAAGAGTCAACATGTAAAATCATGCTCCAATAGACTCTTTATATTAAGATTTTAATTTAGAGAGTGGGTTTGGCTCTCCAAATTTGGAGAGCCAAACTCACTCTCTATAATTAANTAATAAATATTTTTTGGGAATAGTAAATTTAAGTGTTAAATATAAAGAGTTTGTTGGAGTACATCAAAATTTTAACTCTTTAAATTTATAGATGCTCTCCAAATGATAGAATATGCTCTTTAAAAATAGAGAGTCTCTTGGAGATCCTCTAAGTAGGTATTGTTAGTTGAAATATAATGGTGCAAGAATCTCAAGCGACACAATGAAGGAGTCGCACAATTCACATAGAACAAAGTTAATGTCAAAAACGCGTGAAGTTCCATATAGAATTCAACAATGTGGTTGATTATAAAATTACCCTAAATGAATGAAATTACAATTGATCCATGTAGTGAGCACTCTATTGTTTAAAAGAATTTGATGACGCAAAAGGGGTTGTTCGTCAAGAAGCTATCAGACGTCGTCAAGCTTGGTTGGTAACATTATCTCTTATTCTCCCGATTCAATTTCAATGGAGTAATCCGGAATACAAAATCTAATTGTCATTACTGATGTCTGTTTGTTTGGAGCAAGGCAAGTTTGAATCTGAGCATCTCCAAAAGATAGGTTAAATTTCACTCATGGTCAATGAATTTTATACATCACTTTTACCATTAAAATTCACAAAATAGTCATTCAGGTAGCCAAATTAGTTTTGTTGGTGATATGACATGGTGAAATGGTTGTTGATTGAATGACAATATAATATTATAAGTTTAATTAAACTCTATGAAATTGAAGTAAAAAAGAAAATGAAGAAAAATGAAATTCGAGACAAGTGATTAACACTTTTTTCTTAAGACAAAAATGCCCCACAACGGTGCTAATGGATTATGGTACTTGTCTCCCAAGATACAATGGATATGACTCGCGGTAGAAGCAATTCAAACTACAAGCAATAGCGAACTCGAATGAAATTCTTCCCTCTACAAGACGATGGTTTTTGGAATGATTTATTGAAAATTTTTACAAGAGTTTTTGATATAATGCTCAATGCAAATGATATGAGATGCATAATGGAAGTTCAAATGGTCCTATTTATAGAAGATGAGGGGTTGTGAGTGAAATGTTACGCCCCAGCAACCTTCACGAAGGGAAGCATCCCTTGTTGTTGCTGGCCTCCCACTCGAGTGACGGTGACATCTGTTCATCAGAAACTCCATCGCCTGCCCGTCACTCGAGCGACGGTCTCATCGACATCTTAATCAACTTTAAAAGGGAAAAATAGTAATTTAATACTTTCCCCATAAAATAATTAAAAAACTTAAATCAAAAACAAAAAAGAAAAAAGGAAAATAAAAAAGGAGAAACTATCTTTCTCATCGACCCCACCCCACCCCACCTCAACCCAACCCCCTAAACCCAAAACTAGAAATTTGTCACCGTCATGCCTACTGCCATTAAGAGATGGTGAAATTATTTGAAGTTCATACATATCATATAAATTCATTTACAGAGCTTATCAACTAAGAAACATTAGAATTCTACAGAATAAACACTTCCAGGAATAAAAATAGCACTAGGAATTATAACTACTACAAGCCTTTCAAAATCCCCAAAATAGTTAACCTTCCATGAGCACATTGGCCTGGCAAGTTTGCCTTCACCTCATCTAAAATACTTTCCAAATTACACCAACTCAACAAGCTCAACTTTCAAATTTTATTACCTACACATTCTTTCTTGCTCTACCCCTC